ATTTTTTGTGATTGAGGTCATTTTAAATTTTATTTTAAAATTAATCCGATAATTAATATTAACTCTCCAGGTTTAATAAAAAAAAATATGCACCCTAAAGGTGTGTTGAGGTGATTTTTCAAAAGTACTTTTAAAATTTATGACTTCTCATAAACACTTTCAAAAAAAAGAGTAGTGTTTTAAACAACTTATTTTAATTTTTTCTAAATAAGTCAAAAATAGTTTTATCACTTAAATAAGCAAGTAAAAGTTAAAAAAAATAATTTTACTTTTTTAAAATTACTTCTCTACAAAACACTTTACCACCCATCGTTGTTGCTGTTGCCGTCGCCACCCCACCATTACCACCACCATCGTTGTCGACGCCACTTCACCACCACCATCACCGCTGCCCCACCATCACCACTATCTTTGCCACAACCACCCCATCGTCACCGTCATTGCCACCACCCACCACCATCACCATTGTTGTCACCCACCACCGATTACTATTATTGCCGCCCACCACCACCACCCATTACCCTTATCATCTCATTATTATATTTATTATCACTACCACTATCATCCTACCACCATCGTTGTCCACTGCCACGAACTATCATAACCCATCACCACCCGTCGTCACCCACTACCGCCGTCACCCACTATTACCTACTCCCACCACCACTGTCATTCGTCATCACCCATCATCACCGCTATCACCTACAAGTAACTGTTGTGACCCATTACAACTCACACCCACCACCACCATGGTCACCCATAATCCACCATCACCATCACTGTTGTTATTCACAACTGGCACCACCACAGACGTTATCGTCCATTACAACCATCACCGTCTCTCACCACCACTATTGTCACCCACTATTACAACCCCCAGTTACTCTTATTACAACCAGTATTTAAATTATTTTTTCTTTCCTCTATATTTATGATTTAATTTTAAGTGTGATTATAAATATATTTAAAATTGACATATTCCTTGTCTTAAAACACATTCAATAACTAATAAATATATATGCTCTCAATCATTCATCTACCGATGCAAGAAGAAACCAAGAAACCCTAAATTAAACGTGATTATTTAAATAAATGACAGCTGCTACTTCGTGATGACGTGAGTACAATGACGTCGGCCACAATCATTCATCTACCGATGCAAGAAGAAACCAAGAAACCCTAAATTAAACGTGATTATTTAAATAAATGGCAGCTGCTACTTCGTGATGACGTGAGTACAATGACGTCGGCCACAATTATTCAAATACTAAGGAAAGTGCTTCGTGCTAGTGTTATCAGAATCGGATCGATCGATCGGACCGGTTTAACCGTGAGCCGGGACCTTAACCGGTCCGGTTCCTTAGTTGAACTGGTTAAGGAAGCGAACTCGCTAAAAATCGAAAAATTAGCCGATTTTTAACAAAAATTGTGAACCGCCGATTTTATAAAAATCGGACGATTTAATATCTATTTAAAAATTAAATTACATAAATAATTTTTTTTGCCCTAAATCAGTAAATAGCTGATTTTTTTAACCTTATTCTTAGAAAAATTATAAATGACACCCTTTTTTTTTTTATAATTTACTTGAACTCTTTTCTTTGCTTTAAAATACAATAACCCCCACTTTGTTACTTAATTTCATTAATTTTATGGCAAATTTTATGTATTTTATACATATTTTATATTTTTTAGCTAAATTATTAAGTTTTATAATTATTATATATATATTTTTTTATTTTTTTATTATATAACCGGTCAGACTAGTTGACCCAACGGTTGAACCAGTGAACCATTAATCCGGTCCCCTTGCCGGTTCGATGACCAGTCCAGTTCCTATAACATTGCTTCGTGCAATAGAATTTAAACACGACTACTTGACAAAGTTGTTGATGAGCAGGCAGGGAGGAGCTGGCAACAGCAATTCTAAAAAGTTTTAGGGTGCATATAGAATTGTGAAAGTTTTTGGGTATTGCCCCCATTGCAATTTGCAATATTATAAAAGTTTGAGGATAACTTTAAACAATACAAATCTAATATCATAGTTCTAAATCTCTTTTAAGTCTATTTTCAGATCTTATGATATGATAAATAATATATCTAATTTTATTAATTATAAATTTAATATCATAAATATCATTTTGTACTATGAGATTTATGATATAAAATATACATTTAATATAAAAAAAAGTATCTTCACATGGTAAAATTAAATAATATTTTAAATAACTTTCAACCCCTCTATTATTTGTTGCATTGTTTAAAATAATAGAAAAAAAAAATTTGTTTTAAATACAATAAATTTATAACTGATTATAAATAATTTTAAAAATAATTTGTGCGCTATGATTATCTCCAATCCTTATAAAAGTAATAATTTTTTTTTACATAATCCAATTATCATCAATAAAATAAGTAATTATACACAAATATTCTAATTGTTGGCTGAAAATCTAAATATCAGAAGTTAGACAAATTTTATTTTTAAGATTATCAAAATGAGCAATTAAATTATTTTTTTCTTGTATATAATATTTAATAACATCTTTTTGACATGTTTGACGAGAAAACTTTTGAAAAGAAGAATTAAAATTACTTTGTAATATTTTTTCAAATTCAGCATCGTCTACAAGAATGAAGAGAAGATTTCTTACAACAATCCATCTAACAATTGTTTTTCTTTTAAATTTCAGTTCACAACTAAAAGTGTTTAGTGCACTGGTACTAATAAATTGTGATAACATTATTTGTCTAATATCAGTTTGACTTTTTGATAAACATGTCTTTAAGTGTCTGTTTAAATGACTAGTTTCATTTTTAGAGCCTCCAGTAAATTTTTTTACAATAATTAAACATGACTTTTTTTCTAATTTAATGACCTTAGTAGAATCTTTAATTTGAATTTTCTCAAAGTAATCTGAGACCTTGAACTTCTGTCTTTAATTAATTAGATGGTTCATCCCCAATAGAATCTTTTTCAAGGGTTGAAAATGGATCATCTCTTTCACTTTCCTCGATGTTCTTATTATCATGATTTGACTTAAGAATTTTGTTATAAAAAATATTTAGTGAATGAGATAAATTCATTATATAAATTAAACTATAAAAATAAAATAAGTACTTCAATTATGTAGAAGAAAAACTTTCTTACCAAATAAGAGCACTTGACGGTTTTTAATCTNGTAAATTAAATTATAAAAATAAAATAAGTACTTCAATTATGTAGAAGAAAAATTTTCTTACCAAATAAGAGCACTTGACGGTTTTTAATCTTAAGACAGTTGAGACTTCANATAAATTAAACTATAAAAATAAAATAAGTACTTCAATTATGTAGAAGAAAAACTTTCTTACCAAATAAGAGCACTTGACGGTTTTTAATCTTAAGACAGTTGAGACTTCAGAACACTTGAGAGATAAGAGTTGAGAGCATATGAGAGTTTTTTTTTTTTTTTTTAACCGAAACAAATAAGAGTAAATGAGATTTTCAGAATAAAATGAGAGCAATTATAATTTGCAAATGTGGTGTGGATTGAAATGAAATATAATTATCTTTATCTATAAATTATATAATAAAAAGTAACAGTTTATTTACGGCCGTTAGTCGCATAGTTGGGGTCAAATATACATAAAATACTATATTATTTTTATAATAATGTTAAATGAATTTAAAAATTAGACTTGATAATTTCAACTATTGAATAGGTAGTAGGTCCTAATAAATATTAGAACCCATAGTGAAATCAATGATTCTAATTATCAAATCTAATTTTTAAATCTATTTTTTAAATCCACGTAACCTCCCTCATTCCTCTTGTATTTATCCTTGTTTAATTGTTGCCAACCAAAACTCCAAAGCATGCTGCATGTACAGCGGTGCAAGTATTCAAGTCACTGTCACANTTTAAAAATTAGACTTGATAATTTCAACTATTGAATAGGTAGTAGGTCCCAACAAATATTATAACTCATAGTAAAATCAATGATTCTAATTATCAAATTTAATTTTTAAATTTATTTTTTAAATCCACGTAACCTCACTCATTCCTCTTGTATTTATCCTTGTTTAATTGTTGCCAAGCAAAACTCCAAAGCATGCTGCATGTACAGCGGTGCAAGTATTCAAGTCACTGTCACATGAGGAGAAAGAAGCAACCATGTGCTAAAGACCCATGTGCAAGATAGGAGCCAAAGACAAGATATAAATTAAATTTAATGGACTTAATTTTTTCTCACNATACCTAATTTTTTCTCACTTACATCTCAAACTTTTTTTCAAAGTTGTACGGGCTGGGCGGTTCGGTTTGAACGGGCGGGTTTTAACGGTTTTTATGGACAGGTCATTGGACTAGGTTTTGTACCAAGTAATGAAAAACCTTTTTTTTTTTTTTTTTTTGAAGGATATTAAACTTAGATTCAGATTGATTAATTATANGGACTTAATTTTTTCTCACTTACATCTCAAACTTTTTTTCAAAGTTGTACGGGCTGGGCGGTTCGGTTTGAACGGGCGGGTTTTAACGGTTTTTATGGACAGGTCATTGGACTAGGTTTTGTACCAAGTAATGAGTTTAGGGGTAAGTTCAAACCTTTTTTTTTTTTAAGGATATTAAATTTAGATTCAGATTGATTAATTATCGAGCTTATCAGATTTTAGACCTATTTTTTTGGATTGAATAATAAGACCCGTGAATAATCCGATCTATAGACACCCTTTCCTTATGTGCATGGCTACAGTGTCTTTCTAATTGTGTGCTGATAAATGATTTGAACCGTTAATTTTAAATTGGATGATAAAAAAATAAAAAAAATAAAGAAGTAGATAAGTGGTGTATATTTATTGATAAAAAATAAAGATAATAAAATGTATTTCAGTACCTAAGACTCTCCCCCGTATAAGTCAAAATGATGAACCTACCAAACGGCCCACTTTTGCCCAGCATAAATACATGGCCAAATGCCTGAAACACATACCGCAGTAAGAGATAAAGGTAGAAAACATGAGAGGTGATCCTTTGGGTAATCATGTCCAAGAGCTCATAAACGAGGGCCATGGCACCGAAAGGCCTATCTCTCAGGACTGGCCTGATCTACCACCGTTCATCATCTCCGAAGCTCCTAAGAACATGCGTCAACTACACCCACAAGCCTATGAGCCTACGCTAGTCTCAATCGGCCCAGTTCATCACTCCGACGAGGGGCTGCTACCGATGATACAGGATAAACTCCGGTTCTATTTGCGCCTCTCGGAACAACTATACGGATCACGTGACATAGATAACGAAATCAAAAGAAAAGCAGACAATTTGGCACACAAAGCAAAGTCTTGCTATCCCCATACTTATGNCATGCGTCAACTACACCCACAAGCCTATGAGCCTACGCTAGTCTCAATCGGCCCAGTTCAACACTCCGACGAGAGGCTGCTACCGATGATACAGGATAAACTCCGGTTCTATTTGCGCCTCTCGGAACAACTATACGGATCACGTGACATAGATAACGAAATCAAAAGAAAAGCAGACAATTTGGCACACAAAGCAAAGTCTTGCTATCCCCATACTTATGGCATGACAGACTCTGATTTTGGGTTGATGTTGGCCCTTGATGCTTGCTTCATCCTAGAGCTATTTCGCTATGCTAAACAGGTAATTAATTAAGATCTCTCTCTCTCTCTCTCTCTCTCTCTCTTATATCGTTTCTCTTGGTTGCTGCAGGGTATTGTTGTGGATGACCCCATCTTTAGGACAAGATGGATGCTGCCTGCGATTAGGTTGGATTTAATCAAGTTTGGGAACCAATTACCATTTTTCGTACTTGAAGCATTATATGATCTTACTAGCTCAGGTAATGAATCACAACCACCTCTGACCAAATTGGCAGCAAACTTTCTGGCTCCTTNCTCTCTCTCTCTCTCTCTTATATCGTTTCTCTTGGTTGCTGCAGGGTATTGTTGTGGATGACCCCATCTTTAGGGCAAGATGGATGCTGCCTGCGATTAGGTTGGATTTAATCAAGTTTGGGAACCAATTACCATTTTTCGTACTCGAAGCATTATATGATCTTACTAGCTCAGGTAATGAATCACAACCACCTCTGACCAAATTGGCAGCAAACTTTCTGGCTCCTTTAGTTCCCAATGCACATGAATGGTCTCTCCCATTTGACAAAAAACCTACACATTTACTTGCTTTTATTCACTCGACCTTTAGTCCCATGTCTCACAATTGTTCTGTAGCCATCTCTGACGTCAATTTGCCATGGGACGGGAGGTGTTTAGTAAAGAGTACCAACGAACTCCAGAACCATGGAATCAGACTCAAAAAAGGGGACTATGGCCTCCTAAACATCAATTTTGACCCAAGCACGGCAGTGTTAGAAATACCCTCCCTTGTAATCAACCACGACACTGNGTCAATTTGCCATGGGACGGGAGGTGTTTAGTAAAGAGTACCAACGAACTCCGGAACTATGGAATCAGACTCAAAAAAGGGTACTATGGCCTCCTAAACATCAATTTTGACCCAAGCACGGCAGTGTTAGAAATACCCTCCCTTGTAATCAACCACGACACTGTTTCCATTTTTCGAAATCTGGTAGCATACGAACAATGCAACCGAAGCGTGCCATCAGATTTTTCATATTATATTGCGTTCTTGGCTGGACTCGTACAGTCCCCAGAAGATGTTGAGGCTCTCTGCGACAGAGGAATTCTCAATCATACACTGGCCACTCATGAACAAGNCGAAATCTGGTAGCATACGAACAATGCAACCGAAGCGTGCCATCAGATTTTTCATATTATATTGCATTCTTGGCTGGACTCGTACAGTCCCCAGGAGATATTGAGGCTCTCTGCGACAGAGGAATTCTCAATCATACACTGGCCACTCATGAACAAGTGTTTGCAGAAGCAGCAGAACTAAATACTCTCTCCCTGGGGGTTGCCTATGAGGAGCAACATAACTTTCCTCTTCATAAAGTAATTCGGGATATTGACATCCATACAAGCTATCCACGGAATAAATGGAGAGTATTGCTGATGCGTACCTATTTCCCTTCACCAACCAATCTCATATCTTTCACCTTCACGGTTGTTGGTATGTACCTCGCCGTCGTTCAAACCGTATTTGGGGTCCTTTCTTATAACCCTCCAAAGCAGTAGATGTTTCTTTACCTCGATTTGACCAGCGAGTGTTCATATGTGANCGGAATAAATGGAGAGTATTGCTGATGCGTACCTATTTCCCTTCACCAACCAATCTCATATCTTTCACCATCACGGTTGTTGGTATGTACCTCGCCGTCATTCAAACCGTATTTGGGGTCCTTTCTTATACCACTCCAAAGCAGTAGATGTTTCTTTACCTCGATTTGACCAGCGAGTGTTCATATGTGAGAGTATGGGCGTGTATGCTGTATATATATAAATGATGCAATATGAAGACAACGATTAGAGTGGTTCATCTTTGCTGCGGTTATGTCCATTATAAAGGACAAAGCCTTTTTGTTGATTTTGTATTTCTCTCTGTGTTTGCCTTTGTCCTCGAATTATGGTCTCCCACGCCTTTCTACACCCACCACTCACCTGTTGCAATACATGATCCGTCTCCACTGCCGGTGAATTTTTCTTCATCAGAGTCGTCAGGGTCCCTCATCCCTTGGGCGGCCTTATGCGAGTATAGAGGGTTTTGGCTCTGGTGGGGCCTAAACTTAAATACATTATTATCAAGTTATATCGACTGTATGTATTTTTTTTTTCTTAATTAGTGTTGGTGTTGACCACAATATATATATATATGCCAAGGGTTTAATGTACGTTTCAATTATCATACATAATTACACTGCTGCCCACTTAAAACTTGTTCTTACACATGCTAAAACAGTGTCTGCAGTTGAACCTTTGCTCGTCAGATAATTGACAAGTTTAATAAAATTGAGTGGATTTTTGACCAATTTTTACAATAAAGAATGCAACCTACAACATTGTAGTGCTTGTATAGCACTACAACATTTGCAGGCACCCCAAGATGGTCATGACATTTAACTCTTCCTGACCAAGCTACAAAATATCAGTGGTTTTTTTTTTTCTCATTGCATGGACCTTGACTTGCCACATGGCTGACTGCGTTTCTTGGAGAGATAATGGAGTCTCATATAGGAGGTGCCACGTGGATACGGTTGGATAAGCCTATCTCCTTGATTAATTGTGAAATGGTGAATGTACCCTTGTCTATTCTCCCACAGAGTAGGACATCTCTTGCTCCTTTGTCAACAGAAAAAAAAAAAAAAAAAAAAGGAAGGCCTCTTTGAAGACATTGTTCGAACACTTTGTGCTTATTTAGACAAATTTGGCCATTTAGAAGATTGGCAGTGGCAGCCTCCAGGTTTCCTATAAGTTACACTGGTCCTTGGTTACTGAACTTTCATTCTTTCTAAGTTCAGTATTTTTTTCTGGATACAGAGTTCAAATTCGAGTCCAATAAAGCTTGAGCCTTCAACGTCTTGATTTAGAAAACATACCTTACCCATTGAACCATGATTGTTATTTTGCTATTTTTTTTTCTAGGATGTTAGAGTATCGAATCTTATTCGATTATGCCGAGTTGAGTGGCACATTGCTCAAACTTGGCTTGGATTCTAAAAGAACATAAAAATTCAATTGTGTTCAATTTATTTTCTACAATGGATGAGCATAACCTGAATTCTCTTACAGCCATAGTCATACGAAATTTCTGAGCGATATTTATGAAAGAAAAAAAAGAAAGAAATTGCAGTTGTATGAGTACCCTGATTGTTGTGATGCTGATATTACTATTCACTAACCACAGGTAGCATCAAACTGATTAGCACTAAGATTGATAATACATAGTGGGAACACGACAAAGGTCAATCAAAAGAGCACATAATCTGTCTAGTAACTGTTTACAAACCTACATTCCCTCCTTATTTCTCCCTCCTCTCCCACTTGAACCTTGTGGCTTGAGAGCTTCATAAATCCAGACAAGAAACTATTAAAAAACCACTTCTGGTTCTTTGCAAACGCAACCACATAAGGCAGTGTCCTCTGATCTCTTGAAATCTCAGAATCAATCTTCAAATGTTCTCTCCCATTTAGGATGTCAATGAAATAGCAGTTATCGAATAAGAAGGTAGTGGCATCATTTGTCATGAAAGTCTCGTCTGATAGAGATGGACTGCTGCAGATCATCTGTAGCATGACTGTTAAGGAAGGTGACAATGTGGGATCTATTACCGGCTGCAGCTGCTTCTCGAAGTTTTGGCAATGGCCTATGCCTAGGCTATGAGCCCCTGCATCAAGATTACCCAATAAGAAGAACAAAAGAAAATGATATTTCAGATCACTAAAATGCTTCATTTCTGTATATCTGGTCCATCTCGTGGAGTTTGCCACTGGTAATAGGACATTTTAGAATGTATTGAGTACTTGTTTTTTTATCTGTTTCACATATATAGGATTAATGCACATAAGCTTGTACCAGTCAAGGCAACCCCAACTTCGAGGCTAATGTTCTTTTGGGAGAAAAATCCAATGAATTCATCAACAGAGATATCAGCTGCTGGAAGCTCTTTATCGGCTCTCTGCTTACTTACAGACATAGCATCTCTTCTTCCAGACAAAATCTCTAAATAAGGTCCTCCTGTCTGAAAACACAAATATTCAGGTGTGAATACAAAGCTAAACCGGCCACCAGTGTCCACCACTCAACTCTCAACCTATATAATGGTAACAAACTATTAAAACCATCATAACATTCTGTGTAATTAAGCTCACTTGAAAAAACATGCTTTCAGAGATATATTTACAATTTAAGTTTGCATACAGTACATTTTGAAACAAATAATCTATTTTTCATGCAATAGTGCAGCAGCAGTGATTTTTGTGTTTAGAAAGAAATATTTGCATGTTTGTGTTGAAGGGTGTGCTTCCAAATTTTACCAAATATATGGCTTCCCTTGCAGCTAATTGGACAATATCAGCACAGGAAACAGTTTGGGGACAAATTGTTTCTAGAGAGCTCTTTATGTCATTGATGATGTTGAGCTTCCTTAGTCCAAAATTCATGCCAGAAAGCGTTTCTGGTGTCGAGCCAATTGAAACCCTGAAAAGAACTGAACCATCACAACCCTGCAAGATATTTACCAGATGTTCAGGGAGACACAAAAAGAATCAGTGATGACAAATTCAAATTCTCATGTTTTGATGTGTTTCACAATCAAAATTTTAATTTTTTTTTTTTCATCTTTTTCTAATGTGTTCCCAAGCTAACCAAAACTATTCACAGAATGAAATTTTGATCCTTAGCAGAGTTTACACTGTCAGGCAGCTGTTGATATTTCACTTTGAAATAGTGTTACCTAAAAACTGTAATAACTATCACATTGAACACATGCAGAGAGGGTGTGTGTGTGAGAGAGAGAGAGAGTACATCCACTTGACAGTCATGGAACGCCAGTCTCAGAAGGGCTGCAGCAGTAGAGGCATCATTCAACATACTACTACTCACTGTCTGCTTCACAATAAGCTCCGCACTGGGACATCTAATCCTATAAAAATGAAGCTCAAGCCCAGAAACCCTCTCTTTCTCTGGATTCCCTCTCACAGATGGACAACAGAGTACCCAAAGAAGCACAAGCCTTAACACACCTCTAAAGCACAACGTCTTTCAACCCCAGTCCTCTTAATTCTAATTACAGTTTACACCCCCAACAAGAAGGTAGTGGTTTGAGGTTTTCATATACAGAAGTAAAGGCAACAACATTTATACACATCATGACCCCAGATGAGTGCTAGGGGAACCTAGGTTCTCAATCACAAATGTTTCTTAGTCAGCAGCATGTAGAATGGAAGTGTTCCGTAAGTTCTTAGGAACACTGAGGTGCTGAATTCAGCTGCTCTCTTGCATTAAAAGATGATTTCATTGTGTTGGTGAAAAGCAAAGACCAAACTTGCACGGGTAAGTTTAATGGTACGAACATATATCTTTACCACACTTGTAATGGGACAAAAACATCAAAGACAAGATAAGAAGAGCAAAGACCATGACTACGCAGAACACGATAAGTTGACACCTAATAGCAAATAACATGCTATACTCACCAAATTTATTGATCAAATATTCATCCCAAATGACATAACAACGTATTATTTAGAGTCTTTATTATATTTAGAGTCTTTATTGAGACACAAATGACATGAAACTAAATAAAAAAGAGTATTATTTAGAGTTTTTATTATATTTTGAGTCTTCATTGGGGCTCAAATGACATAATACCAAATTAAAAAGCCCAAATCAACTGTCATGCCATTTGACATTACTAAAAAGGAATTCTTTATTGGTCAAGTCTTTCATTTTGTGAGGAAAAAGTTTCAAGTTCAATATTTTTTACACCCTTTAAGGTGAGTTATCATTGTTGCTCATAAGACAAGTTCTTAAACTAACGCGAATTTTGGTTGTTGACTCAGAATTTGAAGGAATAATCGACACAAATATGTAAACTCCATAACCGAAAAAAAAAGAGTCAAATATGACCTCATTTGTCCTCTGGTTTGAATAACTTTTAAAGCCATCACTGAGGAAGAATTAGGAGCAGAGTAATTTGTTGGGAAGAGATGGCTCTTTATTATTAGAATCCAACTCAAATGCTATTTATAATGTTCACCAAATACATCAACCTGAAAAGTATCCAAGTATAACAGGATATTGCTGAACCTATCTACTGCATAATTCTAGTAAGAGATATGTCCACTAAATAATATGTCTATCAGAATCAGATAACTTTTAGCGTGAATGATCTGGTGATACATTCTCATAATTACCAGTTATTTTTTGTCCTCCACTCTTGTCCCTAAATTGGTTAGGCTTTTGCATCTTCCATAGATCTGGACTAGATTCACAAAAAGTAGAAGTAAATAGACCATCGTAAACATATGAGCTCGACTTATTGACCCCTTTTTCTGCGTGTTTGAGCAACAGTCATGTCACCACTACCATCATCACTATCACCACGGCACCACCTGTAAGCAAATGCACACGAGTTAGTTTGAATGACCAGATTATATCAGCAGTTTAGTTCTGGTTTGAGGTTTTATTTGTATGATGGAAACATGACATAATCCTTTATTAATATCGAAGTCTTAAACTTAAATTTGATTATTTGTGAAAAAAGAGAATAAAAAGTGAATATCATTTATATATTATTTTGGCGTGATCTATAATATAGATGAAGAGGTCTATTTATAGTACAAGAGAATAATAAATTTTTTTACTTTAATCGATTNTTACTATTCACTAACCACAGGTAGCATCAAACTGATTAGCACTATGATTGATAATACATAGTGGGAACACGACAAAGGTCAATCAAAAGAGCACATAATCTGTCTAGTAACTGTTTACAAACCTACATTCCCTCCTTATTTCTCCCTCCTCTCCCACTAGAACCTTGTGGCTTGAGAGCTTCATAAATCCAGACAAGAAACTATTAAAAAACCACTTCTGGTTCTTTGCAAACGCAACCACATAAGGCAGTGTCCTCTGATCTCTTGAAATCTCAGAATCAATCTTCAAATGTTCTCTCCCATTTAGGATGTCAATGAAATAGCAGTTATCGAATAAGAAGGTAGTGGCATCATTTGTCATGAAAGTCTCGTCTGATAGAGATGGACTGCTGCAGATCATCTGTAGCATGACTGTTAAGGAAGGTGACAATGTGGGATCTATTACCGGCTGCAGCTGCTTCTCGAAGTTCTGGCAATGGCCTATGCCTAGGCTATGAGCCCCTGCATCAAGATTACCCAATAAGAAGAACAAAAGAAAATGATATTTCAGATCACTAAAATGCTTCATTTCTGTATATCTGGTCCATCTCGTGGAGTTTGCCACTGGTAATAGGACATTTTAGAATGTATTGAGTACTTGTTTTTTTATCTGTTTCACATATATAGGATTAATGCACATAAGCTTGTACCAGTCAAGGCAACCCCAACTTCGAGGCTAATGTTCTTTTGGGAGAAAAATCCAATGAATTCATCAACAGAGATATCAGCTGCTGGAAGCTCTTTATCGGCTCTCTGCTTACTTACAGACATAGCATCTCTTCTTCCAGACAAAATCTCTAAATAAGGTCCTCCTGTCTGAAAACACAAATATTCAGGTGTGAATACAAAGCTAAACCGGCCACCAGTGTCCACCACTCAACTCTCAACCTATATAATGGTAACAAACTATTAAAACCATCATAACATTCTGTGTAATTAAGCTCACTTGAAAAAACATGCTTTCAGAGATATATTTACAATTTAAGTTTGCATACAGTACATTTTGAAACAAATAATCTATTTTTCATGCAATAGTGCAGCAGCAGTGATTTTTGTGTTTAGAAAGAAATATTTGCATGTTTGTGTTGAAGGGTGTGCTTCCAAATTTTACCAAATATATGGCTTCCCTTGCAGCTAATTGGACAATATCAGCACAGGAAACAGTTTGGGGACAAATTGTTTCTAGAGAGCTCTTTATGTCATTGATGATGTTGAGCTTCCTTAGTCCAAAATTCATGCCAGAAAGCGTTTCTGGTGTCGAGCCAATTGAAACCCTGAAAAGAACTGAACCATCACAACCCTGCAAGATATTTACCAGATGTTCAGGGAGACACAAAAAGAATCAGTGATGACAAATTCAAATTCTCATGTTTTGATGTGTTTCACAATCAAAATTTTAATTTTTTTTTTTTCATCTTTTTCTAATGTGTTCCCAAGCTAACCAAAACTATTCACAGAATGAAATTTTGATCCTTAGCAGAGTTTACACTGTCAGGCAGCTGTTGATATTTCACTTTGAAATAGTGTTACCTAAAAACTGTAATAACTATCACATTGAACACATGCAGAGAGGGTGTGTGTGTGAGAGAGAGAGAGAGTACATCCACTTGACAGTCATGGAAAGCCAGTCTCAGAAGGGCTGCAGCAGTAGAGGCATCATTCAACATACTACTACTCACTGTCTGCTTCACAATAAGCTCCGCACTGGGACATCTAATCCTATAAAAATGAAGCTCAAGCCCAGAAACTCTCTTTCTCTGGATTCCCTCTCACAGATGGACAACAGAGTACCCAAAGAAGCACAAGCCTTAACACACCTCTAAAGCACACCGTCTTTCAACCCCAGTCCTCTTAATTCTAATTACAGTTTACACCCCCAACAAGAAGGTAGTGGTTTGAGGTTTTCATATACAGAAGTAAAGGCAACAACATTTATACACTGTTAGATGTTCAGGGATGTGGAGACCAGTGTACAAGAGCTAAGTATGCATGTTGAAAGCGGTTGCACCACCTGGACATTCATTCATGTACTTTCCAAGCAAAGTACTTAATGCTTCATTTATGGCTGCTCGAAGTTTTTATCATGCCCCCAGATGAGTGCTAGGGGAACCTAGGTTCTCAATCACAAATGTTTCTTAGTCAGCATCATGTAGAATGGAAGTGTTCCGTAAGTTCTTAGGAACACTGAGGTGCTGAATTCAGCAGCTCTCTTGCATTAAAAGATGATTTCATTATGTTGGTGAAAAGCAAAGACCAAACTTGCACGGCAAGTTTGATGGTACGAACATATATCTTTACCACACTTGTAATAGGACAAAAACATCAAAGACAAGATAAGAAGAGCAAAGACCATGACTACGCAGAACACGATAAGTTGACACCTAAAAGCAAATAACATGCTATACTCACCAAATTTATTGATCAAATATTCATCTCAAATGACATAACAACGTATTATTTAGAGTCTTTATTATATTTAGAGTTTTTATTGAGACACAAATGACATGAAACTAAATAAAGAAGAGTATTATTTAGAGTTTTTATTATATTTTGAGTCTTCATTGGGGCTCAAATGACATAATACCAAATAAAAAAACTCAAATCAACTGTCATGCCATTTGACATTACTAAAAAGGAATTCTTTATTGGTCAAGTCTTTCATTTTGTGAGGAAAAGGTTTCAAGTTCAATATTTTTTACACCCTTTAAGGTGAGCTATCATTGTTGCTCATAAGACATGTTCTTAAACTAACGCGAATTTTGGTTGTTGACTCAGAATTTGAAGGAACAATCGACACAAATATGTAAACTCTATAACCGAAAAAAAAAGAGTCAAATATGACCTCATTTGTCCTCTGGTTTGAATAACTTTTAAAGCCATCACTGAGGAAGAATTAGGAGCAGAGTAATTTGTTGGGAAGAGATGGCTCTTTATTATTAGAATCCAACTCAAATGCTATTTATAATGTTCACCAAATACATCAACCTGAAAAGTATCCAAGTATAACAGGATATTGCTGAACCTATCTACTGCATAATTCTAGTAAGAGATATGTCCACTAAATAATATGTCTATCAGAATCAGATAACTTTTAGCGTGAATGATCTGGTGATACATTCTCATAATTACCAGTTATTTTTTGTCCTCCACTCTTGTCCCTAAATTGGTTAGGCTTTTGCATCTTCCATAGATCTGGACTAGATTCACAAAAAGTAGAAGTAAATAGACCATCGTAAACATATGAGCTCGACTTATTGACCCCTTTTTCTGCGTGTTTGAGCAACAGTCATGTCACCACTACCATCATCACTATCACCACGGCACCACCTGTAAGCAAATGCACACGAGTTAGTTTGAATGACCAGATTATATCAGCAGTTTAGTTCTGGTTTGAGGTTTTATTTGTATGATGGAAACATGACATAATCCTTTATTAATATCGAAGTCTTAAACTTAAATTTGATTATTTGTGAAAAAAGAGAATAAAAAGTGAATATCATTTATATATTATTTTGGCGTGATCTATAATATAGATGAAGAGGTCTATTTATAGTACAAGAGAATAATAAATTTTTTTACTTTAATCGATTTAGGACAAACACATTATCATTATATACATTAACATTCAGATATTACCATTAGAAAAATTCAAGACTAATCCCTAATCATGACACATCATATTGGCCCCACATTGTACTTACGTGTCAAAATCTGGACAAGCCTACATCCTTAAGAAGTTAGAGTAAATATTGAATGTAATGGTTACACCATGTTATCATTATCACATGATGTAACTATCTAATGATAAACAAATAAGTGTGCAAGTGAACCCTACTTTTTTAATATGTGGTGATTAAGATCTTGCATGGACTATTGGTTATTTGAAGGTGTAGGTTCTATTTTACCTTGTTGAGTGATCATAGAACAACTATACCATGTGTTAATATTGAAGTTGTGTAAGTGTCACACCCAATAATTACTCAAGACGTTAAGGGGAGCCAAACCTTTTTTTTCCTAGTAAACTACACATATGGTTTTTAAACTACGATCTTTGTATCAATTAAATTTTTGATTTTTTTTTTTATTTTTTGTTAATTGAGTTACTAAACTTTTTAATTATGTTAATTAAGTCTTCATATCTGCCGCTATTAGAGTGTGTCACTCACGTGACTATATAACACAAAAAATCTAAAAAATTCAATTGACACAATTAAAAAGTTCAGATGTTAAATTGACACACACAAAAAAATTATAAGTGATGCATTTCGTCATTTTCTATTAAAAAATTTAAAGAATGCAGACATAATGACTCAATTAATACGATTAGATAGTTTAGATGTTCAATGACTAAAAAAATTCAGAAATTTAATTAACACAAAAATTATAAAAATTATAATTTGAGGGTTATATGTATAATTTATTATTATTATTTTTTTTTATCAAGGAAGCCAAGCCATTCAAAATGCCCAATCCCGATACACTATAAAAGGCTCACTCCTCTCTTATCCAATGTCTAAGGACAGTCACACAATGTCCCTAACCTCACCTCTCCTCCAACTTCCTCTCTGCCAGTTCAAATCCCTCAGCCTCACCACCCCATTCCTTCATGGCTCCTCACCAATTTCCCTATTCACCAAACCCCCTTCCTCTTCTTCTCCACCATCCCCACAATCCCCCATTTTCCTCCCACCAATCCGAGCCATGAAGTCACTGCAAGGCCGAGTGGTCTGCGCCACCAGCGACAAGACCGTGGCCGTCGAGGTGGTCCGTCTAGCTCCGCACCCAAAGTACAAGCGGAGAGTGAGGAAGAAGAAGAAGTACCAAGCTCACGACCCCGAGAACCAGTTCAAAGTTGGGGACTTTGTTCAGCTCGAAAAGAGTAGACCCATTAGCAAGACCAAGACTTTCNGGCCTCATACAGAGTTCAAACCATCTGGCGAAGGTGTGGTACAGAGCAAAAACTGTGATGATGATCAACATGTACCTTTGTGATGCAGGGTAGTGGTGATGAATCAACTTTATTGCAAAACATAAATTCAAGGATTTATTCAGGTCAGGGAACTTCTGTATTAGATTTGAAACAAACTTCCATATGAGTCTATAAATTATGTGGCACTCAACCAGGGTTTCAATTAAGTGATTTTTTTTCAAGAACTATTACACATTATAAAGGAGNGTACAAGAGAATAATAAATTTTTTTACTTTAATCGATGTAAGACAAACACGTTATCATTATATACATTAACATTAAGATATTACCGCTAGAAAAATTCAAGACTAATCCTTAATCATGACACATCATATTGGCCCCACATTGTACTTACGTGTCAAAATCTGGACACGCCTACATCCCTAAGAAGTTGGAGTAAATATTGGATGTTATGGTTACACCATGTTATCATTGTCACGTGATATAACTGTCTAATGATAAATAAATAAGTGTGCAAGTGAACCCTACTTTTCTAATATATGGTGATTAAGATCTTGCATGGACTATTGGTTATTTGAAGGCGTAGGTTCTATTTTACCTTGTTGAGTGATCATAGAACAACTATACTATGTGTTAATATTGAAGTTGTGTAAGTGTCACACCCAATAATTACTCAAGACGTTAAGGGGAGCCAAACCTTTTTTTTCCTAGTAAACTACGCATATGGTTTTTAAACTACGATCTTTGTATCAATTAAATCTTTGATTTTTTTTTGTTTTTTGTTAATTGAGTTTCTAAACTTTCTAATTATGTTAATTAAGTCTTCATATCTGCCTCTATTAGAGTGTGTCACTCACGTGACTATATAACACAAAAAGTCTAAAAAACTCAATTAACACAATTAAAAAGTTCAGATGCTAAATTGACACACAAAAAAAAATTATAAGTGATGCATTTCGTCATTTTCTATTAAAAAATTTAAAGAATGAAGACATAATGACTCAATTAATACAATTAGATAGTTTAGATGTTCAATGACTAAAAAAATTCAGAAATTTAATTAACACAAAAATTATAAAAATTATAATTTGAAGGTTATATGTATAATTTATTATTATTATTATTTTTTATCAAGGAAGCCAAGCCATTCAAAATGCCCAATCCCGATACACTATAAAAGGCTCACTCCTCTCTTATCCAATGTCTAAGGACAGTCACACAATGTCCCTAACCTCACCTCTCCTCCAACTTCCTCTCTGCCAGTTCAAATCCCTCAGCCTCACCACCCCATTCCTTCATGGCTCCTCACCAATTTCCCTATTCACCAAACCCCCTTCCTCTTCTTCTCCACCATCCCCACAATCCCCCATTTTCCTCCCACCAATCCGAGCCATGAAGTCACTGCAAGGCCGAGTGGTCTGCGCCACCAGCGACAAGACCGTGGCCGTCGAGGTGGTCCGTCTAGCTCCGCACCCAAAGTACAAGCGGAGAGTGAGGAAGAAGAAGAAGTACCAAGCTCACGACCCCGAGAACCAGTTCAAAGTTGGGGACTTTGTTCAGCTCGAAAAGAGTAGACCCATTAGCAAGACCAAGACTTTCGTTGCTGTTCCCGTCATCGGAAGGAATGCGCCAAAGTCGAAGGAGGCTGTAGCTCAGGAACTTGTACTTCCATTGGAGTCTCTNTAAGAAATGCTTATCTCAATCACTCCCCCTGGATTGGGTTGTTTTCCACACCCGAGAATTAGGGAGTTTATTATCTGTTGACTGGATTTCTTTCTTAAATAGATGAATGAATACAAGATCAACAGTTCAAAAAAAAAAAACTTTAATGTTCAAAATGGAAAACTGTCGGATTTTGATGATGGTTTCATTAGACAGAACACATTCAATTGGAAGAATGATGATCAGAATTCACAAGACGAGTCGATGAAACGGGAAACTCTATGGTATCACTTTCAAAACCGTATCGAAGGTAACTATTTTTATGGTAAAGTTACAACTCAAAAAGAAGAAGTTATAACTGCTTAGGAAAAATTTAAGATCGACTAAAGAATCCATGATCAATCATAGATAAATATGATCGATTGTGAATTTTCCCTGAGCAGTTGTAACTTATATTTTTTGAGTTGTAACTTGACATTTAAAAGTTGTAACTTACACTTCAAAAAAATTGTAACTTAACTTGAAATTGTTGTAACTTTCGGTACGTTATCTCCTTCGATACTGTAGCCATTTTTTGATGAAACTATCAAAATTTTCTATGATGGTTTTCTTTTCTTCAAGAGGGATACTGAGGAAATTAAGACAATAACCATTACCATGATTGAACATGCTTCTCGAAATTAAATTATTTTGTTAGACTGAATTGCAAGTGGTGTATAAGGAATACACCAATTTTTGGATGCATGGTAGGCATAAAAGAAGGTGAACAAGATAAAATTATCCTCTCTTTTTTTAGACAATAAAATAATATAATTAACGAGTGATCACTCTAATTTTATTCTTTGATTTTTTTTCTTTTTCTTATTATCATTAGAGGTATCAAAATATAACACGTCCCGTTAATACAACACAAACACGACACGAAATTCGTCAGTTTGAGTCTTGTTTAAACCACCAATATGACACGATTAATAAACGAATTGAATATGTGTAAATCCAATAAAAAAAATATAAAACAAAACTTGTGTATATACTAATTATACACGATTTATATATGACACGAACCCAATAAGATACAATTCATTAAATATAAATTAATAAATGAATCAGGTATGACTGAAGTATTTTGTTTACATGAACCAGCTAAGACCCGACACAAACCCGCTTTATCCCCAGCCAATTAGCATACCGAATTATCATCTAGTAGTACGAAGAAATTAGATGAATAAATTATGTGGTAACCAGTTATAAATTTTGCATAATGAAGATTGTTTAAATTAGGACCCCCAAAACGGCGGCGTTTAACACTGCCTCGTTCTACTACAAAATTTCCGAATTGGTGAAATCATGGACTTCCTCTGCAGCACAAACCACCTCGCCAGAGTTAAACCGACCGTGCAANGCCTTCCTCAGCCAAGGACAGAAGGCTTCAATAGGGATAATTATCAGAAACCATCTGGGGGAAGTGGTGGATGGACGAGCAATGATCATCCACGAGTCTCGAGCCAACACTCGGAGGCAGCTGCAGTACGAGAAGCTTGCATTATGGTTACAACCCAGCAGATGCAGAATGCCACGATCGAGAGCAATAATGCAAGTATCATCAACTTCAGCGTGACAGAGGAAGCTCCTGCAAGGAAAATTGCAGCGTTTATGGACGATATAAGAGAATGTGCTAATACTCCTAGAACTACAAACAAACCTGCACACTGGATCACTAAGAAATGCTTATCTCAATCACTCCCCCTGGATTGGGTTGTTTTCCACACCCGAGAATTAGGGAGTTTATTATCTGTTGACTGGATTTCTTTCTTAAATAGATGAATGAATACAAGATCAACAGTTCAAAAAAAAAAAACTTTAATGTTCAAAATGGAAAACTGTCGGATTTTGATGATGGTTTCATTAGACAGAACACATTGAATTGGAAGAATGATGATCAGAATTCACAAGACGAGTCGATGAAACGGGAAACTCTATGGTATCGCTTTCAAAACCGTATCGAAGGTAACTATTTTTATGATAAAGTTACAACTCAAAAAGAAGAAGTTATAACTGCTTAGGAAAAATTTAAGATCGATTAAAGAATCCATGATCAATCATAGATAAACATGATCGATTGTGAATTTTCACTGAGCAGTTGTAACTTATATTTTTTGAGTTGTAACTTGACATTTAAAAGTTGTAACTTACACTTCAAAAAAATTGTAACTTAACTTGAAATTGTTGTAACTTTCGATACGTTATCTCCTTCGATACTGTAGCCATTTTTTGATGAAACTATCAAAATTTTCTATGATGGTTTTCTTTTCTTCAAGAGGGATACTGAGGAAATTAAGACAATAACCATTACCATGATTGAACATGCTTCTCGAAATTAAATTATTTTGTTAGACTGAATTGCAAGTGGCGTATAAGGAATACACCAATTTTTGTATGCATGGTAGGCATAAAAGAAGGTGAACAAGATAAAATTATCCTCTCTTTTTTTAGACAATAAAATAATATAATTAACGAGTGATCACTCTAATTTTATTCTTTGATTTTTTTTCTTTTTCTTATTATCATTAGAGGTATCAAAATATAACACGTCCCGTTAATACAACACAAACACGACACGAAATTCGTCAGTTTGAGTCTTGTTTAAACCACCAATACGACACGATTAATAAACGAATTGAATATGTGTAAATCCAATAAAAAAAATATAAAACAAAACTTGTGTATATACTAATTATACACGATTTATATATGACACGAACCCAATAAGATGCGATTCATTAAATATAAATTAATAAATGAATCAGGTATGACTGAAGTATTTTGTTTACATGAACCAGCTAAGACCCGACACAAACCCGCTTTATCCCCAGCCAATTAGCATACCGAATTATCATCTAGTAGTACGAAGAAATTAGATGAATAAATTATGTGGTAACCAGTTATAAATTTTGCATAATGAAGATTGTTTAAATTAGGACCCCCAAAACGGCGGCGTTTAACACTGCCTCGTTCTACTACAAAATTTCCGAATTGGTGAAATCATGGACTTCCTCTGCAGCACAAACCACCTCGCCAGAGTTAAACCGACCGTGCAAACTCCGACTCGATCTTTCCAGCCACTTTCTGCTCGATCTTTCTATACCTCCTCAAACCCTACTAATGGAAATTGGCTCAAATTTGATTCACAATCTCGACGCTTTCGCCGGACTTAATCGTCCCTAATCGGATCTTCCACAAGGTTCAATTCTCATTTTTTGCTTACCTACGGACGTACATATAGATCTTCGTATTACGTTTAACATCTTTAGCATTGCCAATTCTTCTTTCCAAATTGATAAATCGGTAATGCCTTATGACTGTGTTCTTAGCTATTTAGTTGTTTTGTTAATCTATGATCGACTTTTTTTGATTTCTTGTAGGGTTCTTGATGCGTGTGATCTGGCAAGTTTGAGTGCTTGATCCAGTTGTTGTAGAAGATGGCTTGGTTTAGTGGGAAAGTCTCTTTTGGGGGCTTGCAGGATCTTTCTGGGGTTGTGAATAAGTTCAGTGAGAGCGTTAAGAACATTGAGAAGAATTTCGATAGCGCTCTTGGTTTCGAGGAGAAGTCCGAGAATTCCGACGCCGGTAGCAGTGAAGGTATACATATCCTTTTCGTTTTTCGTGCTCTCTCTCTCTCTCTCTCTCTCTCTCTTGAGGTTTGTAGTTATAGAAATATATTTAAGGTGCAAAGAAGACAAGCTTACAGCAAAAGTCTAAGATAAGCTGAACACCATTTAACCACTTCGCTCAGATTCAGATACGAATTATGTTTGATCTGAAAAGTAAACTAACTTTATCTTATTACTAGTTGCAGCATCTCACATTGCAATTTGCTGCCTGTGGGAATTAAAAATGGTTCAGCTGAGTGATTCTAAGCCCATTACTGGGTGAGGCCAATTAAAATGTAACTGTTCGGAAATAATTCAGTTTTGAAGGACTCTTAGCAAAATGCTGATTATTATATTGTAGGTTCTAGCTGATCTGACTGCCGGTTCATTTCTCTGAACTGATCCTAAAACTTTTAATGAGTCTATATTCAAGAGATTATGATAATGGAAGTTAGTATTCAGTTATTCAGGGAGAGTGCCATTAGTTGGCACTGAATAATAGGGGGCATTGCTCTGAATTTTAATGTCTCCTTCACAATTGCAATGATTGTGATTTCAGTTTATGTTGAGACATCATATTTCTTCATCAAGATTCTAGAAATGTTATGTCCTGGAACCATTCATCATGCGCATACTAAACATGCTTTGTTTCAGTGTGGGATATCTCAAGGTTTACATTGTAGTTGTCCACATGACATGTCCTTCATGGGTGTTCCACAAATTTTACGTAGTCATGTCCATCACAGACACTTCACAAATTTTACTTTGTCGAAGTGTCATTTTTCTTATTTCTTATGCAAATGGTTTTCATTTACATGAAGTCTTTGGAGCTGAATGCTAATGATTTGCATTTATCAGTTATCTTGTTATCATGATGTTTCTATTGCTTCTATGATTCGGTCTTGTCATTATCTATATTCGTGGTATTTTGGTTTTCGTAGAAATCTTGATGATTGGAGTATGAGAGACTTTATTTCTTTGACTGCTGTCCTTAATGTTGTTTTTGAGTCATGAGTTTATTGACAAAAGAAGATGAGGTTGTGAGTCATCGGGGGTGTTCTCTTGCAAGTCTTTTTTTGCTTCTATTATTGATGATTCTTCATGTCCATTATTCTTGCCTATTTTCATGATTTGGAAAGCCAAATTATCCATTAAAGTGCAAGTTTTTGCATGAACTGTTGCACATAGTAAGATTAATATCAATGAAATACTTCAGAAAATGAGACATAAAAGTTGTATTTCCCCTTGTGTGTGATGTGTAAAGGTGTTTCTGAAAGCATTGATCACTGAATCGTACATTGTCTTTTTACTGAGTCTTTATGGCATTAGTTGTTTACCTCGGTGGGTTTGAGTTGGGTGCCTCCTTTGTCATCATATTCTTTGTTTATTGAAGATTTAAAGGGCTTTGGAAGGAGTGAAAAAAGGGTGACATTATAGAATTGTGTTCTCATGGTCTTTTTTTGGATTATTTGGAAAGAAAGGAATGCAAGAATTTTCAAAGATAGAAGCGAGGATGTGATTGGTTTATGGGATCATATTCATTTCATAGCATCGTTATGGACCTCGGTTTCTACGGCTTTCAAAGCAATTCCTATGTTTTCTATTTTGGTAGGATGGGAAGCTTCTTGTGTTTGATGATTTTTTTCTTTTGCATGTATTTTTTTCATTTGTTGGATTTCTTATCCAACTTGTTCGATATACTTTAAATTTTCTTCAATATAACGTATTTGTTTCCTATCAAAAAAAAAAAAAAAAAATCACAACCTATATAAAATCTAGTGCACTTGTTTTAGGATTTAAGCCTTCTGAAGAGACTGGACGCCTTAATCAACTAACTTGCTAACTGCGTACATTTGCCAGTCTGTCTAGACACTAGTCAAAGTAGAAGCATACAGACAGAAAAAGTATCCATTTAATGGTCATACAGTTAGCTTCATCTGAGAATGGCCATTATCCAAATCATATATAGTACCTTTTTTATGAGAGTTAATTATGGTGATTTTTTTATTAATTTTAATTTCTTAACAAACTCTATGCATATCAGCTTCAGGGTTATGGCCTTCAGCTACAGACAGGAAAGCACTATTTGACCCTGTCATGGCCTTTATGGGGCATAAAGGAGAGGAAATTACTCTTGAATCAAATGAGAAACCTGAAGAAGCGTCCAAGCTTGCATCTGCTGTTGAGGACAAAGAAGGAGTTGAGACAGATAGCTCAGCTAATTCTGCTCTTCAACAAACCTCAGCCGCCGAAGAAGCAAATGAAGAAACAATGACAGTTGATATGCATGCAGACCCTACGAGGGGAACAATAAATGCCATTGAAGAGGGAACAAATACCATTGCTGCAGACTATAGTAAAGCCGAAGCTGATTCTCAGCTGGTGACTCTCGAGTTATCTGAACCCAATATTGACCACGTTGAGGAGTCAGATTCCTCAGATCATCTCCAACAGATGGAGAGCTCAGAAGCAGGATCTTTTGAAAATTCGGAGACAATGGATGCCAAGTCAACAAATTTTATAGGTCAAGCTGAGGGCAATGCCCCTGTGCCTGAATTGCATGGTGTTATGAATTTGCGGGAGAGCATAGATGAGCCGGAGATACAAGAAGAAGAGATTGCCGAGAAAGTTTCTGCAATTCAGACCGAGGATGAATCAACTGATAACCAAGCTGAAGCTGGGACAATCCCCCCTATTTCAAATTCTACTATATCTGATGAGACTGGAAGTGCTGAGCAACATTCTGAAAACCATTCTTCGGATGTACAGAATCAAGATGAGGCTTCAGAGATGGTTTCTGTGTCAGTTACACATGAAAAAGATGTAATTGCTAAAGCTGTTGAAGTGTACGAACAAGCAAGTGATCTTGATACTAACATAAAAGAACATCGTCTGAGTTCAGGAAGCAACTCACCCAACATTGCGGATTCTGTATCTGAACTAGAGAATGTGAAGAGAGAGGTGAAAATGATGGAAACTGCACTTCAAGGAGCTGCTAGACAAGCTCAGGTATTTAACTTGTTACCATTATCTCATGGACTGGACAAATGACACTGAAGCCTCAGGCCCAATGCATGGTCTCTCAAGTCTGTTAGTTGAGCTTTCGGAACAGTGTTGTAGGACCACCACACCATTTTCCCTTTTATAAACTGTAAATGCTCGGACTGCAATGTCCATGTCAATAGAAGCTGAAACCTATAAAAGCATGTCAACTATTTTGATTAGGTGATTGAGTTTGAGTAATTGGATGCTACTTTGGGGAAGTTTACTTGAAATTTCACTTTTGGATATGAAGGAAAATTGTGTGCCAGAGGGACATCTGGTATTGTTGTTCCAAAAAGAGATGCGAGTAATTGCAAACCTTTTAACCCCTATGTGAGATCCTTTTTTTCTTCATGCCTGTTTTGGCTTTGAATTTGGCAGCTGTGTATCTTCTTTCAGCAACTTGCAGAGACATGCCATTACAGTACTTGTGCTTATTTTCATTGAGCATACACCTTTTCTGAAATTTAGTCACTCTCACATATTATTTACAGGCAAAAGCTGATGAAATTGCGAAGTTAATGAATGAAAACGAGCAGCTAAAAGCTGTTATTGAGGATCTGAAGGTGAGGATGGTTCGATTCTTTTCTTTTTGTCCTTTTATCAATTATGGTAGTGGTGCATATGGGGTAACAAGTCCTAATGACACATATATATAATTTCAATTCAGTTATTTTTATATTACCTGTTTTACTATGTCTTATATATTATTTCTTTTCCATTATGTGAGATATCTTTCTTCTTCTTCTATTCTTTAAGAAATTATCTTAACTAAATGCAGATGTATCCAATAGCAATATATATGCAATAACTTCAGTGCAAAACTTTGGAAATAGGTGTGTAATTTTAGGAGCACCCTGATGGATGTCCCTATGCCAATGGTTCTTCCAAAGCATTAGGTTGTTGAATGGCACAAAGGCAGTGGTTGGCGTGTTTAAGGGAGGGTGGTTATAAAATTACAGCGGTTAGTTTTGTAGCCTTGTGTGATTTTTTCTGCAACAATCTTTGCGAAGGCCTATGTGTGATGACCTTGAACTTTGTGGTGGTTATTTTGGCAATGATGGTTTTTTACCACATGTGGGTCTTGGTGTTGCAGTAAAAGGTTGCTTGATAACCTCTCAGCAACAAAGGGTAGGGCTGCGTATATATCTGATAATGGTTGGGAAGGAATGGAGGCTTCCTTAGCCCTTCTGTTTATCAGCTCTCTCCCAGACAAGGGTTTTTTTCTTTTGATTGTGGGATGACTGCTGCTTTGTTAAAGAAACACTAAACGAGATCTACAAACTATGTTATACTCATTGGAACAAGATGAGGAAATTACTTTGAAAAAAAAAAAATANGTGCAAAGAAGACAAGCTTACAGCAAAAGTCTAAGATAAGCTGAACACCATTTAACCACTTCGCTCAGATTCAGATACGAATTATGTTTGATCTGAAAAGTAAACTAACTTTATCTTATTACTAGTTGCAGCATCTCACATTGCAATTTGCTGCCTGTGGGAATTAAAAATGGTTCAGCTGAGTGATTCTAAGCCCATTACTGGGTGAGGCCAATTAAAATGTAACTGTTCGGAAATAATTCAGTTTTGAAGGACTCTTAGCAAAATGCTGATTATTATATTGTAGGTTCTAGCTGATCTGACTGCCGGTTCATTTCTCTGAACTGATCCTAAAACTTTTAATGAGTCTATATTCAAGAGATTATGATAATGGAAGTTAGTATTCAGTTATTCAGGGAGAGTGCCATTAGTTGGCACTGAATAATAGGGGGCATTGCTCTGAATTTTAATGTCTCCTTCACAATTGCAATGATTGTGATTTCAGTTTATGTTGAGACATCATATTTCTTCATCAAGATTCTAGAAATGTTATGTCCTGGAACCATTCATCATGCGCATACTAAACATGCTTTGTTTCAGTGTGGGATATCTCAAGGTTTACATTGTAGTTGTCCACATGACATGTCCTTCATGGGTGTTCCACAAATTTTACGTAGTCATGTCCATCACAGACACTTCACAAATTTTACTTTGTCGAAGTGTCATTTTTCTTATTTCTTATGCAAATGGTTTTCATTTACATGAAGTCTTTGGAGCTGAATGCTAATGATTTGCATTTATCAGTTATCTTGTTATCATGATGTTTCTATTGCTTCTATGATTCGGTCTTGTCATTATCTATATTCGTGGTATTTTGGTTTTCGTAGAAATCTTGATGATTGGAGTATGAGAGACTTTATTTCTTTGACTGCTGTCCTTAATGTTGTTTTTGAGTCATGAGTTTATTGACAAAAGAAGATGAGGTTGTGAGTCATCGGGGGTGTTCTCTTGCAAGTCTTTTTTTGCTTCTATTATTGATGATTCTTCATGTCCATTATTCTTGCCTATTTTCATGATTTGGAAAGCCAAATTATCCATTAAAGTGCAAGTTTTTGCATGAACTGTTGCACATAGTAAGATTAATATCAATGAAATACTTCAGAAAATGAGACATAAAAGTTGTATTTCCCCTTGTGTGTGATGTGTAAAGGTGTTTCTGAAAGCATTGATCACTGAATCGTACATTGTCTTTTTACTGAGTCTTTATGGCATTAGTTGTTTACCTCGGTGGGTTTGAGTTGGGTGCCTCCTTTGTCATCATATTCTTTGTTTATTGAAGATTTAAAGGGCTTTGGAAGGAGTGAAAAAAGGGTGACATTATAGAATTGTGTTCTCATGGTCTTTTTTTGGATTATTTGGAAAGAAAGGAATGCAAGAATTTTCAAAGATAGAAGCAAGGATGTGATTGGTTTATGGGATCATATTCATTTCATAGCATCGTTATGGACCTCGGTTTCTACGGCTTTCAAAGCAATTCCTATGTTTTCTATTTTGGTAGGATGGGAAGCTTCTTGTGTTTGATGATTTTTTTCTTTTGCATGTATTTTTTTCATTTGTTGGATTTCTTATCCAACTTGTTCGATATACTTTAAATTTTCTTCAATATAACGTATTTGTTTCCTATCAAAAAAAAAAAAAAAAAATCACAACCTATATAAAATCTAGTGCACTTGTTTTAGGATTTAAGCCTTCTGAAGAGACTGGACGCCTTAATCAACTAACTTGCTAACTGCGTACATTTGCCAGTCTGTCTAGACACTAGTCAAAGTAGAAGCATACAGACAGAAAAAGTATCCATTTAATGGTCATACAGTTAGCTTCATCTGAGAATGGCCATTATCCAAATCATATATAGTACCTTTTTTATGAGAGTTAATTATGGTGATTTTTTTATTAATTTTAATTTCTTAACAAACTCTATGCATATCAGCTTCAGGGTTATGGCCTTCAGCTACAGACAGGAAAGCACTATTTGACCCTGTCATGGCCTTTATGGGGCATAAAGGAGAGGAAATTACTCTTGAATCAAATGAGAAACCTGAAGAAGCGTCCAAGCTTGCATCTGCTGTTGAGGACAAAGAAGGAGTTGAGACAGATAGCTCAGCTAATTCTGCTCTTCAACAAACCTCAGCCGCCGAAGAAGCAAATGAAGAAACAATGACAGTTGATATGCATGCAGACCCTACGAGGGGAACAATAAATGCCATTGAAGAGGGAACAAATACCATTGCTGCAGACTATAGTAAAGCCGAAGCTGATTCTCAGCTGGTGACTCTCGAGTTATCTGAACCCAATATTGACCACGTTGAGGAGTCAGATTCCTCAGATCATCTCCAACAGATGGAGAGCTCAGAAGCAGGATCTTTTGAAAATTCGGAGACAATGGATGCCAAGTCAACAAATTTTATAGGTCAAGCTGAGGGCAATGCCCCTGTGCCTGAATTGCATGGTGTTATGAATTTGCGGGAGAGCATAGATGAGCCGGAGATACAAGAAGAAGAGATTGCCGAGAAAGTTTCTGCAATTCAGACCGAGGATGAATCAACTGATAACCAAGCTGAAGCTGGGACAATCCCCCCTATTTCAAATTCTACTATATCTGATGAGACTGGAAGTGCTGAGCAACATTCTGAAAACCATTCTTCGGATGTACAGAATCAAGATGAGGCTTCAGAGATGGTTTCTGTGTCAGTTACACATGAAAAAGATGTAATTGCTAAAGCTGTTGAAGTGTACGAACAAGCAAGTGATCTTGATACTAACATAAAAGAACATCGTCTGAGTTCAGGAAGCAACTCACCCAACATTGCGGATTCTGTATCTGAACTAGAGAATGTGAAGAGAGAGGTGAAAATGATGGAAACTGCACTTCAAGGAGCTGCTAGACAAGCTCAGGTATTTAACTTGTTACCATTATCTCATGGACTGGACAAATGACACTGAAGCCTCAGGCCCAATGCATGGTCTCTCAAGTCTGTTAGTTGAGCTTTCGGAACAGTGTTGTAGGACCACCACACCATTTTCCCTTTTATAAACTGTAAATGCTCGGACTGCAATGTCCATGTCAATAGAAGCTGAAACCTATAAAAGCATGTCAACTATTTTGATTAGGTGATTGAGTTTGAGTAATTGGATGCTACTTTGGGGAAGTTTACTTGAAATTTCACTTTTGGATATGAAGGAAAATTGTGTGCCAGAGGGACATCTGGTATTGTTGTTCCAAAAAGAGATGCGAGTAATTGCAAACCTTTTAACCCCTATGTGAGATCCTTTTTTTCTTCATGCCTGTTTTGGCTTTGAATTTGGCAGCTGTGTATCTTCTTTCAGCAACTTGCAGAGACATGCCATTACAGTACTTGTGCTTATTTTCATTGAGCATACACCTTTTCTGAAATTTAGTCACTCTCACATATTATTTACAGGCAAAAGCTGATGAAATTGCGAAGTTAATGAATGAAAACGAGCAGCTAAAAGCTGTTATTGAGGATCTGAAGGTGAGGATGGTTCGATTCTTTTCTTTTTGTCCTTTTATCAATTATGGTAGTGGTGCATATGGGGTAACAAGTCCTAATGACACATATATATAATTTCAATTCAGTTATTTTTATATTACCTGTTTTACTATGTCTTATATATTATTTCTTTTCCATTATGTGAGATATCTTTCTTCTTCTTCTATTCTTTAAGAAATTATCTTAACTAAATGCAGATGTATCCAATAGCAATATATATGCAATAACTTCAGTGCAAAACTTTGGAAATAGGTGTGTAATTTTAGGAGCACCCTGATGGATGTCCCTATGCCAATGGTTCTTCCAAAGCATTAGGTTGTTGAATGGCACAAAGGCAGTGGTTGGCGTGTTTAAGGGAGGGTGGTTATAAAATTACAGCGGTTAGTTTTGTAGCCTTGTGTGATTTTTTCTGCAACAATCTTTGCGAAGGCCTATGTGTGATGACCTTGAACTTTGTGGTGGTTATTTTGGCAATGATGGTTTTTTACCACATGTGGGTCTTGGTGTTGCAGTAAAAGGTTGCTTGATAACCTCTCAGCAACAAAGGGTAGGGCTGCGTATATATCTGATAATGGTTGGGAAGGAATGGAGGCTTCCTTAGCCCTTCTGTTTATCAGCTCTCTCCCAGACAAGGGTTTTTTTCTTTTGATTGTGGGATGACTGCTGCTTTGTTAAAGAAACACTAAACGAGATCTACAAACTATGTTATACTCATTGGAACAAGATGAGGAAATTACTTTGAAAAAAAAAAAATAAAACCACGACCAGTTAGATTCCAATTTCAGACAGAAGAAGGGTAAGAGTAGGAAAAAGAGCAAGAGAAAGGCTTGGATATCCAAATAAACATTTTCAATAAAGTGCTTGAAGTTTTCTAAAGATGCAGGGTAATTGCCAGGACGTTGGAAGTATATGCAACCCAAAGCAGCCTTTGGAAGCTTGGAGGCGAAGACTTGGTAGTCAGTTCAGGATGGATGAAGTTTTATGGTCATCTATTTTTATCGATATGGTTGGAATATTACTTTCAAGAGTGCTCAGAACTTCAAAAACAGCCGGTGGAAACAAGCTTGGAGCTAAGTGTGAGAAAAGAAGCCAGATTGGATAAAGATCACATCAACTTTTGATTGAATGCTTTGGTTGTCTGCTATTTCATTTTTCATTTTTTGGGAAAGATGGTCAGTTTTTGACCACCTACTGACAGGGCTTATTTACTTCTTTTTTTTTTCTTTTTTTTTTCCCAGTTATTGTTCCGACTTTCATGTTAAATTTGTCTGCAGCTGCATTGTTTGGTTAACTTACATTAATGGGGATAATGAAATTTACATATTAGAACTCTCTCTCTCTCTCTTTGCCAAGATAAAGACACTCACACACACACACATATACTAATTAGTATTCACCTTTGTAACTGTTGAAAATCAATCAACAGAGAAAATCCAATGAAGCCGAAATCGAGTCTCTCCGAGAGGAGTACCACCAAAGGGTTGCAGCTCTTGAGAGAAAGGTACATTTCTCACATCATTTTTAGTTTTTTTAAGCCTAAATTTATGATGATGCAACAAGACATATTTAAGATTTGAATGTCTATCTGTGTTATGGGATGCAACATGTTTTGTGGGCATGGATTTGAAACTTTTTGTCAGTAATGTGGATGTTTATATAATTCAAAAAGCTATTAATTTAAGTTCTTGTTGCTCATATCTGCATGCATCTCTGTTATTGAAGTAATGAGTAACTTTTTCCTTTTTTTCAAATGTCCTGTCTGCAAGGGACCGGACTTAGATGTAGCTAAGTGGCATCTTCATCCATGCCCAAAATGTTTGTGCTTGTGATGCTTAGTAGTCTGTCTGACCTATTTGTTGAATGGTGATTTTAATATGAGAACTTTTTAGATCATGGACCTTATCTCCTCAACATTTGGACATTGAACATTAAAGTTTGTTAAAAATTATATCAGCGTTTATCTAAGAAGCATTACTTGTTTATTATGTCTAACTTTTTTCTGATCAGAAATTGTTCTTCAGTTTTTCCTGGTATGGTTTAACTGATATGCTGTCATTGTTAATGGGACTGTACTTGTATTCAGTGTTATTTAAGGCATAAAGTGAACTGAAGCGAACAAGTCTCCTGATGGCTGATGCCTTAGGCGAGAAGCGAAGCAAACACTAAAAAAAAAAGCAAATATTTTAATTTAATTACTTATAAATATCGAAGTTGTTTCACTTGATAAAAACTCTGAATCAGCATAAACAGAGAAGAAGAATCCCAGCCAAAATAAAACAGAAGCACACAAACACAAACATAGAATCCCAGCCAAAATAAAACAGAATCAGAATCAGAAGCAGAGAAGAAGAAGTAGAAAAAAAAGCAGAAGCAGAGAAGAAGAATCAGAAGCAGTAACAGAAACAGAAGCAGAACCAGTAGCAAAAGAGGAGAAGCAGAGAAGAAGAATCATAAGTAGAACCAGTGGCAAAAGAGAAGGAGAGAAAAGGCAGAACCAAAAGAAGCAGAATCAGAAAAAGAGAAGTAGAGAAGGAGAGAAAATAACATACCTGTGTTCTGTTGAAGAAGAAGACAGAAGCAGCAGATCTGGTACTGGCTGTGTTTTCTGTCATCAAAGAAGAAGCAAAGAAGAGGAGAAGAAGCAGTAGAAGCAATAGTAGAGAAGAAGAAGAAAGGGGGCAAACCTAAGCTGTCTGTGTGTTCTGTAGGGAGTTGGGACTTCTTCCAGAAGGGGAGAACAAGCAGCAACCGTTGTTTAGGCAAATTTAGGGTTTGAGTGTTAGATATATTGGGATAAGGTACAATCAGGTGTATGAAAAAATAAAGCAACTTAAAAAACTAAGGCATCACTTTTCTTGCCTGCCGCTTATGCAAAAGGCGCTCACTTTTTTCTTGCTTCAGTCACTTGGGGTGCTCAAGGTGACAAGACCTCGCTTCACTTCTCGCCTAGGCGAGTTTTTGACAACACTGCTTGTATTGTCATGTGCCATTCATTCTTTAGAATTACCTTTCATGCCATGGTCATTGACAAAGGACTTTATAATTAGTTAAGTACATAGCAATTTTACTATAGTCATGTGGGCGAGTGCTGAGCTCAGCCCCTGGCTTGCAGTTAATTGATATGTCAGTTTTTTTCCCTTTTAATTTGGACTGTATATATGAAGTATTGCAAGTAAAAAAAATATTCAGTTAGTTTATTCTATGGGATTCTCTTCGTAATTGAAATGATAATTTTTAATTTTGGCATCTTGTGTGAGCTTTCTATTTTTTTGCCATTAATGAAATATGGTTCATAAGAAATATGTATTCTCATGAAAGTATTCGTTCGCCACTTGTGTGGGTGAGTCATTGTTGTCAGTTTGTGGAAACAGTATTGATCATTTGGCTTTCTTAATTGCATTGTGTGGTCTGTCTGCCTTCACTTATTTGGAAGTGCAGTATGCATCTTGTTGTATATAACCTGCTAGCATTTTGGCATTTGCAATTTCAGGTTTATGCTCTCACTAAGGAAAGGGATACATTACGTAGAGAACAGAGTAAGAAAAGTGATGCCGCTGCTCTTCTGAAGGAAAAAGATGAAATAATCAATCAGGTTATGGCTGAAGGTGTGGAAATCCTGTAAATGCACGCTCAAATTTTTTTTTTCTATTTATCTCTTTATTATTTATTTATTTATTTTTGGCGGGGGGGGTTATATCTTGCTTAAAATATTCCATTGTTTATGTAAGCCGGAGGGACATTTCTTTATTTATTTGATGGGCATCTGGAAGATTCCATTAGTTAGGTTTGTGTTTTGAGGCAATAAAAAGAAACAACCATGAAGAGGGGACCACCACTGTCAGGGTGTCATACTTTTATGCCAGCTACTATAATTAATGAATCATCCAAGAAAGAAGTTCAAATTTAGGTTTTGTTGAATAGAGTTAAGTTAGAGAACATATAAAAAGTGGTTATAGTGATTAGTTAACTGGCAAGGTGCATAGCTAGGTTTGTGAAACAGGTATCGCCTCCCCACCCCCACCCCCCCGGCCCTCCCAACTCTACCTTGGTATTAGTTAAAGGTAAGTGCCACGCTTGAAATTTGAGCAATCCTGATTTCAGTAGGCCTCTATTCTGGCAACCCAACAAGAACACTTTCAACTGCCCATCAATTTAAGAAACACAACAAATATCCTGCATTTTGTTGGCTTAAGGTAAGCTGGAACCTCTTGTTAACAAGTTAATGTAAAGTAATTGGTCCTTCTTCATGAGTGTAAAATGTGGTTCGCGGAGTTAGGGCATGAGTGAGGCTTAGTTTTTGACTTTTTGAGTTATCTGCAGAGGCGAGGGCTGCAGTTGCAACTCTGGAGTAAGAACTCCTTATCATCTTCTTGATGGCAATTTGGCTGTATTGTGGGCTTGATGCTTGTGTGACAGGGTGAGGGCAATGGTTTGGCATTGTTGTCTACTAGCGTGTGGAGGATAGAATGGAGGCGGAGCTTCATGCTAATAAGTTTCAACTGTTTTCAGTTTTGTTGGATGTGTGTTGCTTGGATGGTAGGTTCCATGGGTTCATTGCATTGTTAATTGTCCCTAAAAAACATGGGGATGAGGGACTTACTGCAGCAAAAGGTTTGATGCTGGACCAAAGAGACTCGGGACATGGAGTTAAACTTCAAATTGTCATGTAGTGGTCGAGTAATTGACAACTTCAACATATCACCACATTCTATCATATTAAACTGCACAAGTGAAGCAATTCTTTAGTGAAAGGGCTGGCGACTTTATGGTTTTTAAAGAAGTGGCAAAGTGTTGATGCCTTTGTGCATCTAATGAAGATGCATATTCCATCTTTGTTCATGTAGCTTGAGAATCGGACAGTTGCTGTACGCTCCTAGTAACATTGAGCAAATTTAGATTATGGAGTTTTGATAAGCCACAAAGATGGGTTTTTTTTTTTT